TTTTTTTTTTTTTTTTTTTTTTAGTTTTTCGAGACAGGGTTTCTCTGTGGCTTTGGAGCCTGTCCTGGAACTAGCTCTTGTAGACCAGGCTGGCCTCGAACACACAGACATCCACCTGCCTCTGCCTTCCAAGTGCTGGGATTAAAGGCATGTGCCACCACCGCCCGGATGTTGTTTTGTTTTTAAAGGAAAACAGGAAACTCCTTACTCCCTAGAGAATGTGGATTTTTAGACGCTTTGGTCCCGCTTAGAGTAAAAATACATTATGCTTACCCCAGCATCATTGGCCATCAGCATTTTAATTAATGCTTTCAGCTGTTCTGTATGCATTGTAAATGTATAAACACTAAGTGTGTATGTGTGTATATATTTTCGTGGCAACTACTGCTACCAAAAAAAAAGGCCTGGATGTTTATATTTTTGTTTATTCCATGTATATGCACCACATGTGTGCCTGGTACCAGTGGAGGTCAGAAGAGGACATCCAATTCCCTGGAACTGGAGTTATGGATGATTGAGACCCACCACATGGGTGCTGGAAATGGAATGTAGTTCCTCTGCAAGAGTAGCAAGGACTCTTAACCACTGAACCATCTCCCCAAACCGTTTTTATATTTTATGCATTTTATCCATCACCCACCAGTGACGTCTGTGCAAAACACCTGTTTGCCAATTTGCCAGTTTGTGAGCCTGTAGTGTACTGCTTTTCAAACATTTACATACATAGAGGTTATAATTATTGTGGTACCTGCTACATGTACATGTACCGTGTGCAGGTTCCCTAAGCTGTTTCTCCATAGGTTCATTGGTGACAACTATGTATTGAACCAGTACTTTGGAACTTCAGCTCAGTGGTAGACATTTGTCTAGCATATGCAGGGCCCTGGATTCAAATCATAACACCACAAACAAAAAAGTTCTTGGGAGGGGGTGACATATATCTGTATTTGGGGATCATCTAAATTATTCATCAGGTCTGTACCTATATGCACAGATTGTGTGTCCACTGTTTGAGTACCTGTGCACATGCTAATTAAATTTATATTCTCACATCGGACTGAATTAATTAAGTGCAGAGACCCTTTGTACCTTGTATAGTAAGCAATACATGTTGAGTAAACAAAAGAAAAATGAATGCGTTTTGTAACTGGTAGCTCATATTGACTGAAAATAATGTACACTCTCTGCAACATTTCTTGTATACTATAAAGCCTCTACCATAGCTTGAAAGTGTCTGAAGAGGAGGAGGAGCATTGTTCCTCCTCTAGTGAACTGCTCCTAATTATATACAGAGACAAACTAAGTAGATTCTACTTCAGGACTAAGCTTCGGTCATCCTAGCAGAAGGAGTAGGGTACTGAGCGGGAAGCGCACCCTGCAGTCCCACAGACCTGCCTTCTCATCTCTCTAGCTCTATTTCTAGTCCTACCTGAAGCTGAAATGAGGATGAAAATGCCTGCCTACAGTACCTGGTGCATAGCAGTCCCCAAGTTATTTGGTAGTTGGGTTTTTTTGTTTTTGTTTTTGTTGTTGTTGTTGTTTTGAGACAGGGTTTCTCTGTGTAGCAGCCCTGGCTGTCCTGGAACTCACTTTGTAGACCAGGCTGGCCTCCAACTGAGATCCGCCTGCCTCTGCCTCCTAAGTACTGGGATTAAAGGCATGTGCCACCACCACCTACTTTTATCTTTTGTTTCTTAGAATCAGCACGTCATTACAAAGTAAAGCTCAATGAAGATCTCACTGTTGTCGAAGTGTGATGGCTCCTGACAGCAATCCTAAATTGAGGAAGAAGAACTGACTTCTCAGGCTAACCTGGATTACACACCAAGTACCAGGCCAGCCTGAGCTTCAAGAGCCTGTCTCAAAACAAAAAGAATAATCCTTCTGTCCAGCTAACATTTCATATTTTTTTCATTTGTTGTCTGGGGATTTGTTTTGTTTTTGAGACTGGGTCTGACTACATAGCCCTAGCTGGCCTGAAACTCACTATACAAACATGGCTGGCCTCAAACTCAGAAAGATCCTCTGCCACCTAAGAGTTGTGATTACAGTCATGAGCCAACACACCCGGCAATAGCCTTGGGGAAGATGTAAGTCAAGTTTCCATTCTGTGGAAGAGGAATCAAGTTCTAGGAAGATTTAATAACTTGCCAGTGTTGCAGAAGTTGCAGATTCCTGGTCAAATGTTTTTCCAATCATTTGCCCTGCTTAGGTAAATTTACTCATAAGTCAAGTAAGGATAAGTATTTAAGGTAATATTAAGATTCAAGGATGGGCGGGGGCTGGCGAGATGGCTCAGCAATTGAGAACACTTGCTGTTCTTGCAGCGATCTGGGTTCTATTTTCAGCACCCACATGGCAGTTCACAAACATCCTCAACTCCAATTCCAGGAAGATCTGGTGCCCTCTTCTGGCTTCTGAGGGCACCAGGCATGCACACAGTGCACATACACGCAGGCAGGCAAAACACTCACACATGTAAAATAAAAATAATAAATAAATAGTCCAAATTTTTTTTATAAAGGTTCAAGGCTGGTGAGATGGTGTCATGACACTTCCTACCAAGCCTAATAACTCAATTTTGATCCCAATAACTCAATTTTGATCCCCAGGACCCATGTGGCAGAAGGACAGAACTGACTCCTACCATCTATATCCATAGTGTGGCACAAACATGCCCAGACACAAAATGCACACAAATAATAAATAAATGTGATTTTAAAAAAAGATTCCAGTGCAGAGAGATGGCTCAGTAAAAGCAATTGCCACCAACCTTGGCAACCTGAGTTCAATACCCCAGGGCCCACAAGATGGAAAGAAAGAACCAACTCCCATAAGTTTTCCGCTGACCTCAACATGCAGAACTCAATATGTGGTATACATACACTCAGAAAGATAAACAAGTGTATTTAAAAGGTTTTAAAGATTCAAGTGGTTAGCCGGGTGGTGGTGGCGGCGGCGCATGCCTTTAATCCCAGCGCTTGGGAGGCAGAGGCAGGTGGATCTCTGTGAGTTCGAGGCCAGCCTGGTCTACAAGAGCTAGTTCTAGGACAGGCACCAAAGCTCCAGAGAAACCCTGTCTTGAAAAGAAAAAAAAAATCAAGTGGTTAAAACAAACTTTTTTAAAAAGTGGCTCTGCCAGCAATTCTATCACCTAGGAGGCTAAATAAGGAGGATTTTGAGTTTTAGGCCAACCTGAGCTATAAAGCAAGATACAGTGTATAATGACACTATAAAGAGGAACTAGGCTGGGGAAACATGAGTTAAATTAAGGTTGGCGAGTTTGCTGTTCCTCAGCTAAAGACAGTTTGGCTTTTCTACCTGGAGGAGCTCAATAAGTGGTAAAGAACATCAGGCTTTTGGTCTCAGCACCACCCAGTCTTCCCACAGTCTTCTCTAATGCCCTTAGCCCAGACATATCACTGGGCAAAAGGAAACTGCACACTCTTTTAAGTCAGTGAGACTGCGTCCACAAATTCCTATTTGTGACAATCATACTACACACCAGGAAGTTTGTGAGCATGTGGAAACACAAAGGTATTCACTCACGGAGATCTGCCGAGTACCACACGTTCCTGATTCTTGATTTTCTCGTTCATAAAAAGAACTTAAATAACAATTTCATTACTTCGGAAGATTAGCGGTAACGATGTCTGCCTTTCTTTAAGGGCCAGGTGCTATGAAGTAGTATTATCTCTGTCTTGCAGATGAGGAGAAGGAAACTCAAGCGCAAGTCACATAACTAGAAAGTGACAGAGCCAGGATTCAAACCTACAACTGTCTTTGTCCCCTAAAATTCTACCTATGAAAGTTTCGGATGTTGTTCCTCACACAGAAAAGTATTTAGGAAATAAGTTCCTTTCCAAGATTCAAGTCTTATTGGGGACCGATCAGAGACTGGGCACTGAAGGCTTCAAAATTTGGAAGCAACAGGGATCTGGCCTTGTGCTGAAGGCTGGCTTGGCCTCACCCAGCCACCTGGGAGAGAGGGCTGGAGTAGAATGTGTGCAGAGCAATAACTCGAGGTCTTGGCTGGGCTCCCAATAACACCCCCATATATTCTGTAGATAAACTGCATGAGAATGCCACTGTGCTTTAGTGGTAGGGATTAAACCCAGGGCCCTGAACATAGGGTCTCATACACACTAAACAGGTGCTCGGCCCCAAACTCTACTACCAACCCCTAGGCCTCCTTTTAATTTTGGTCTGTAAAATTCCAAAATAGGTATACAGTATCTTTTGTCATTGTTTATTTGATCTTTGATTGGGGCTGTTTGCTTGTTTATTTGTTTAACAAGGGGTCTCACTTGCTATATATCCAAGGATGATCTTGATAAACTCCTGATCCTCCTGCCTCTAACTCCCAAGTACTGTGTTTACAGACAGGAGCCA